AGGCGAAGTAGGTAAAATTATAATCTTCATTTCTTAAAACAGGATATTCATCACGTTTTTTGTTAATTTTTGCTACGAAATTATAACCTCTACGATAATTAAGAGTAATGTGAAGCATATAGAAGTACTCGCTCACTCTGTTAAATTGCTATTCACGAATGAATTGATCAAAAAACCAAAAAATGATTCGCTTTTGATCACAACGAAGACCCAATGTGGTTGTTGTTTGTGCGTAGGACTGTCCCCCACTTCCCAGAGTTTGAAAAATTAAAATTGTACATTAACACTCCTCGAAATTTTTACATTATTGTGTTAAGTTGATCTACAATAACATACAACTCTTTTAACACAAGCTTAATATGGTAATCAGAAATATAGAATAATGTTAGCAATATTTTACGTACTTTATTTTGTGGAATTACATTAAATTTGTTGTTTTAGCTTCTAAATTTTATTTCACTTTTTAGGAAAAGAAACATGAATTAGGCACCTCGTGCATGAATAATAATTATGGTGGGAATCAATCATTTTTCAATTCCTAAATTTAAGTTTTATGTTTTGACAATAACTAATAAAGAATTTGTGTCAGTAGTGTAGTAGCTATGCTTGAAATTTCAATAAAAAGATTGTGACAATTATTATAGTGGGAATCAAGCAAACGTGGCATACTGGCAATAAAGTGTTAGGTAAACTCAGAAAAGATAATTATTGTGCTTTTAATAATTACCTTAAAGAAATATAAAGATTGTACATAGATTTTGTTCATATGAGCTTAATAAATAGAGTAAATATTAGTCGGTGCATGACATTTTATATAATCGATTTCAACTTATTTAAAATTAAATTATTTTTACTTGTTATTAAACTAATTTAAAAAATTGATTTTTTACCCTCGTTCGAACATTTATATTTAGAATATCAAAATATTGACGATACTTGTATATATTCAAGGGACAAATGATAAATATATATACCCCAGACTATCGTAAATGGTATGCAGATACCCTCTGTTATACTTTTGGGACATTGGTGCCCTTACCGTCCAAAAACTAGAGTATATATAGCCTTCACTCTAACAAAAGACTAAATAGAGACACGTGGTGCAATTTATCTGTCGGATCGGCGGATAAGATTATGATACATGCATGTTCATTAGTATAAAGGGTATATATATGATTTAATTTTTGGACGACAAAGCACCAATGTCCTAAAAGCATGACGGAGGGTATCTACATAACATTTATGATAGTTCGAGGGTATATTTGTCATTTTTCTCATATTCAATAATGAATACACAAATCAAGTAAAATTATTACAACAACCTTAAATGTAATATATTTTGATAGACTTTTGTCCTAAAATAAGTATCGCCTGAGCCAAAAAAATTGTCTCAAAGTAAATGTCATCTTCAAAATTTAGGAGAAAAATTAGCATGTTTTTTAATTATACCTCTATACTCTATTTACTTAGTAGAGTTTAGTTTTTAAAAAATATTTATTAAATAGAAATAGTTCGATAAACTATATTTATTGATTTTTTTAATGAACATAATTTTTATTAAGACACTAATTTTGAAACATAAAAAGTATAGATTAGAGCAAAATTATTAAGTCTTCATTATTAACAAACAAAAAAATGTGTATTGATGAATTGTTCTTCTTTGAAAAAATATTGTTTGAAATAATCACAAAAAACCAATAAATAAATTTTTTCAATTTTTGGAAAAATAATATTTCTTTTTAAGTTCAAAAGGTGTAAAAAAAAAAGGTGATGTGTAAAACCCAATAAAGTGAAAACTGACACAAAATTTTGTCGATATATGGTCACACGTGCTAAGACAAGATTGAACCGCACGTGTGCATAACGGAATACATCGTCATCCGGAAAAGTGACGACCGTTTCATTTTCCTCTTTAACAACAAAAAATGCGTCCCACTTTCCCATAAAAACAAAAACTTAATCGTGGAGTGATAACTATTTTTTCGTTCTTAATTATAACTATCGAGTTTAAATTTTCTTAATTTCTTTGAATACGAAATCGTCTTTGTTACAGAGCATTATGCCCTTTAATGTAGAACATTCCAACATGAATCTAAATTTAACTGAGCTCCAAACCATTGAATAATATGAAAGTACACCACACTACTAATAATACTTGACTATCTACTACTTCCTCTGTCCACTTTTAATTGTTATGCTACGTTTTTCGAAAGTCATAACTAATTTTCGAAGTGAACATTAATTCGATTTTTTAAACAAAAAATTTAGATATTAAAAAATTATACGAAAAGTACTATAAATTGTAATTTTCGTACATATCAATATGATAAAAAAAAAATCGTAAAATATTAATCAATATTCTTATCATTTGACTCTAAAAAGAAAACTATGATAATTAAAAATGGATAGAGCAAATATTTTTTATTGTAATCACCTTCATATATTTTTTTTCTATATAAGATTATATATTTAGTAAACTGAAATATCTATGATTATTAAATTTTAATCTACATCTTAATATTCATATGTTGTACTCTAACTCTAATTAAAAAAAAAATGAGACCTCAAATGAAAAACTAAATAATAATAATAATAATGGATAATATAAAGTTTTTTTTAGGACAAAAGTAAGCGTTACAAAGAATATTATAACAGAATGATAGAAAAAGGCTGAAAAAGAAACCGTTGTTTGCGCCATAGGTTTTTCCCATTCCACGTTTGGTCCAATCCCACGTAATTTATCACGTACAACCCCACTCCTTTAACCCCCACAACTGTCCTTTACTACAATTTTTCCGATATATTACGATTATTTTATTCTGCATTTGATCGGAAGTATATTCCATCTCTTACTTTCAATCAAACGAACTCTAAGGGTAGCTTTTGGATTACGTATCATACTATTTATATCGTAACGGTGAGATAAATTATAACATATATATGATGGAATAACAGATAATTAATCTTCAGACGATTTGTTTACAACAAAACGATCCCTAAGAATAGGATGAAATCTATGTATATCATATTCTATTAAATTTTCATCGTACTATACTCGATATGTTATTGTTGAATGAATTTGGAAAGTTTTTTTTTTTGGGGGGTTCAATCTAATTCACATAGTAAAAAAAATAATGAAATAATAAATAAAAGTTCCGCCTCTATTTTGGACTTTAGAGTCAAATTGACATGGTATACACCGACAAAAGGGATCTTGATTAACATTTTATTTTAACCTATTGATGCCTTTAATAATTATTTTTTTTTTTTTGTAGTTTCTTTCGATGTTAAATTTGTTAGGTTATAGTGTCTACTTTTAAGAAAAAAAAATTGTAGTGTTTAAGATTGAGATGGATAAAATCACTCTATCCTCTATAGCAATTTTTGAATTCAAATGAAGACTCTTGATAACAAATCTTGATTAATAGTTAGTTGGGATGGTCTCCCTTATTAATATCACGTCCGTTTCAATTTATATAATGTAATTTGACTGGTTAAGAAATTTAATAAAGAAATATTAATTTTTAAAATTTATAATCTAAAATAAATCATAAATGTTTGTATAACTATAAATCATCTCATTGAAGTAAAATAAATATTCTAAAATTAAATTGCCACTAAATATGAAAATGTGTCATTCGCTTTTAATCGACTACAAATTTTTTTTTGTATAAAGTATTTAAAAATAAATTAACCGAGTCAGTAAATTTCAAATACATAAAACCGAGAAAAGAACAATTAGATTCTATTTTCATGAAAACTCGAGAGTAGCACCAGTTACAAGAAAAAAAAGGCACAAAGTCCAAGTGCAACAGTGTGTGTTAATGGAAGTTCCCACCCACCCACACGAGCGGTTCTCATTTTCCCACACACACGACCACACTTATTTAAAAATTATTTTTATTATTTTATTGTTTACTTTAATTATTATAGTTACAACCGAAAGTATAATAAATTATTATTATTATTACTAACAAATTATATAGTAAAAAAAAAAAGTTACATTTATGTAATTTTTATTTATATTACTGATGTATTAACTTTTCGATTGATGTTTTTGGTTAAAGACAACGGTCTAGCCATTGTTTCTTTAACTTTATAATATTATGACTGAATTTTTTTAGCAATTGTTGAGAAAATATTTGAATTTGAGATCTTTAGTTAAGAATAAATGAATTATTGATAAATTATTGGTATCTTAGTGACATTGTTTATCTTAAATATATAAACAAACTCAACTTATTATACTCTTTCTATTCAATTTCAGTTGTCATGATTTTATTTTTTAGATTTAAATGATAAGAATTTTGACTAATATTTTATAATGTATTTTTTCATCATATTGATATGTAAAAAATAGCGATTTATAATATTTTTCATTTAGTTTTTGAATATCTAAATTTTTAGTTTAAAATATCGAACTAATGTGATCTAATTTAACTTTAAAAATTAGTCAAATTAACTTTCAAAAAACGCAACATGACAATTAAAATAAGGTCGGAGGGAGTAATATAGTAATTTATCATAGTGTAATATGTATTAATTAGGCATGATTAAGTGCTGAAAATACATGTTATGCATCTGTTTAAACAACAACAACAACAATAATAATAATAATAATATATTCAATGTAATACATATAAAAAATTAAGCATGTAAAACAAACGCAACAGTGAAGAATCCATATTAAAAATAACTGACAATAAAACATTAACAACCACAAATAATATAATAACTAAAGGTAAAGACGTGATAAAATCAAAGAATAAGATAATACGAGAGTAATAAAAATAGTACTCATTTGAAAGTCATGTAAATATTTGTTAAATATATAGAGTAGGTTATAGCAAAAATAAAAAAATAAAAAAGAGAATTTTGATTCCTAGAAAAATGAAAGAATCGTGTAAGTTTTTGTTTTTTTTTTAAAATATATTTTTTTGTTTTATTCTTTTTATTTCTCTTATATATTCAATGAAAAGACGATTCTGTTTCATGCTTCTCGTCACTTGGTCCTTTTTAAACGTTACAAGTCTTTTTCTTTTTGTTCCCTTATGCTTTCATTTCTTCTCTAAACATCAACAATGAAATTACTCTTCTTCTTCTTTTGGTCTAATTTTCTGACCAAAATTTAATCTTTTTTCAAAACTATTTCCTACCCATTTTTCCTTTTTCAAAGCAGAAAAAAACCCATTTTGAATCTTTAATTTTGGTTTAGTAAATCATTTTTTCTAAGTATTACAAAAAAAGGTGTCTTTAAACACATGAATAGTGGTGTTGGTTCTTGTTATGTTCAAGAAATGAACTTTTTAGTCCCTTGTGTTGAAGAAAATCCTTGGAGATTACATCAAATGGAAAATAAGTTTAAGGATGAAGAAGAGGGATTAGTAGATTTAATTGGGATTAAGGAGACTAATCATAATAATAATAATAATATTAATGGTGGTACAAAGTTATGTTCTAGAGGTCATTGGAGACCTCATGAAGATGCAAAGCTTAAAGAACTTGTTGGTCAATATGGTCCACAAAATTGGAATCTCATTGCTGAAAAACTTGAAGGAAGATCAGGTAATATTTCATTATTATTTTTTTGTGTATTTTTGTTGGATATATTCAATGAAGTGTTCATATAGTATAAAGTTTGTTTAATATATTTAATTAAAATGTTTTTACATAGTAGCGGATCTAACTATGAGTTCTGAAATTGTGGTTAGTCTCGCTACCTCTTTAGTTAGTTATCGTCCTCTACTTGCTCATTTGCAATTATTATCACAAAAAAAGTTGAATCATATCTCTGCTTAATTAGTGGAACATGTTTATTGGCCGGGACAAAAGGTCGGTTTCAACCCGTCTATAGAATGGGGCTAGTGTTCAGTGTTGGTTGGTTCTATCTTTTTGTGGTAAAAAAAAGGCTAAGCCAACCAAACCTTGAAGGAGTTAGAAGATATATCACGTCCTTTGTAGTCAATAAAGTGGTTGAGATCCACGTTCGAATCCCAATGGAGACAAAAATTCTTCCCATTTAGAGATTATCTAGTACTTATTGCTGGTGGGAGATGACATACGTGAAAGTTATCAACTTATAAATCACATTTTAATTACTCAAAATCTACCATGTCTTCTGAATCCCATAACTTACTCTTTTTTTTTTTAACTCAGAACTCACAACGTCTAAATTCCGATTCTTTTTTTCTTTTTTAGGGAAAAGTTGTAGATTGAGATGGTTTAATCAACTAGATCCAAGAATCAACAGAAAAGCATTCTCAGAAGAAGAAGAGGAAAGATTATTAGTAGCACACAAAATGTATGGCAACAAATGGTCAATGATTGCAAGGCTATTCCCAGGGAGGACAGACAATGCAGTGAAGAATCATTGGCATGTCATAATGGCAAGAAAACATAGAGAACAAAATAGTGTGTATAGAAGAAGAAAAACATCAAATTTGCAACAAATTATTGCTCCAAATAACAATAATAATATTAATAATGATGATGATATGATCATACAAAGTGATTCAACAATTTCTAGCAACATTGTTGATGATCTTCAAAGTGATTCAACTTGCACTGATCTTTCACTTACTCCATCTTCTTCTAAAGCCATTATTCATCCTTTTCTCAAGACAAGATTTAATCATCATCATGTGGAGCATCAAGGAATCATTTATTCTAACAAAGGTATAAGCTTTTTCTTCCTTCTTTTTTACTTATTTAAAAACGAGTTTAAGTTATATATACTGATAATATAAAATATGTATATTTCTATTATCACTATAGTTAAAACCTGTGATTTTTATGATGTTTGAACTCTTCAAAAATGTTAGGGGATACATCATATCCCTTAAAGTAGGTATATTTGAAGGGTTATGGTCACTCAACTGATAGAGTTAGTTTTTTTCTTGATTTCAATTTTCTTCGAAAAAAAAAGGTGTTTTTTTAAGATAATAACTACTTCTTCCGTCTCATATTTACTGTCTACTTTATTATAAATAGTTGTACCTAATTACTTGTCAATATACAAAATAAAAAATTAATTGATTTTTACTCATTTTACTCATAAAGTAAAAAAGTTTGTTAAGTTTAAAAAACACTTTTTAAGGGGTAAGTAAAACTACCCATACCATAAAGGGGAAAGTGGACAACTAATATATAGGATAGAGTAAGTATTAGTTAAGTGACTATACGAGAAATCAACTCTGATCCATTTTCAAAGGATTTGACACAAATACAACAATATTTTTGAAAAGTCCGATAAACATTTGCTTGTAACAACTAGTGTATTATTATTTCTAGTAAATTACCATCAATATATGTAAATCTTTTTAATTATTTTATTTTTTGTTTTAATATAGGGTTGTCAAGAGATGAAGAAGAGGTGAAAATGGGCTTGTATGGAAATATGTCAGATACAAATTCAGAAATTTCAGCATCTGAGTCAGTAGCCAACAACATGACCAATATTGTCAAGATTTATGAAGATGAAGATGATGTAAAAACTGTGAACTTCATTGATTTTCTTGGAGTTGGAGCCACTTGAAAATTAAATATAAGTGGGATTTTGAGGGTATTTTATTTTATTTTATTACATAATATAATGTGGAATTGTAGTAACAATTAATAGAAGCTAATTAAGAGTTTTGTTTTATCAACGGATGAAGTAGGATTAATTAGTTTGTAACTTGGTGGTGATTGCTTAATATTGCCTCTAATTATTCTCTATTAATAGAGTTATCTTGAAATACTAGTAGTTCTTTGTGGTTTGTATAGTCTTCTATATTAATGGGGAAAAAAAGGCTTTGAAGGGTAGATGATTCTTTAAGGTTTCGTTTGTTTTTATTAAGATTATATGACGTTTGAATTTAGACGTATATCTGAATATTAAGATGTTTAAATCTGAATACACATATGAATATTAAGATGTTGCATTAAGATCTGAATACTAAAATAAGTAAGACGGTTTGTTTTTCTCAATGTTTGAATGTATAAAATTTGTTTAACTTAGTATTATATAAATAAAATATTTCAGATATTTATATGACAATTGATAATGGTGATGCCTAACGATAATGATTGTCTGGTCGATTTGGAATGGTGTTGATTGATGATGGTGGTTTGTGAGTTGTGTTTTATGGACTAGTGATTGATAATAGTGATTAACCATGATTATTATTGGTAGCGATCGATAACTAGTAGTGGAATAATATTGATACTAATGGCGATGATGACTGATAATGTTAGCTAGTGATATATAATATTGATTAACAGTGATAAGTATCAGTAATAGTGATTAGTGGATGTAATAATGATTGGTGATCATAATTATAAATAATAATTAATAGTGCTGATAATTGATTTTGATGCTTAACGATAAGCATAGTGATGGTCATAGTTGATTTGAAGATGGTAGTTGTGGATGATATAATTAATGATGATTAACGATGGTGATAATTGTGGCTGAAATGGTGTGATTTTCAAAATAATTCAAAGGAAGTCTATTTAGTTTGAATGACATTGAAGTATTAATTGTAGTTTTTGGCATATCAGGCAAAAGATAAAGAAAAAAGGGGTTTATTTGCCTATCTTTTATGACTTTTTTGTTTAGAGTTTGGTATACTTTTGTTGACTGCCTGTGATAGTGATTTGTTGAAAATAATTTTATTATATTTTTGCATGTTTTCTTTTAATAATTACTAAATACCTTTTACACGTGTGCTTCATGATGACATCTTTCTGGCATGCTTGTTAATTTTGCATGAAATAATTAACTCCTTTTTTTACTATTTCTGATTGGATTAAGTGAACCTAATCACTTATAGGATAAAATAATAAAAAATAAACATATACTCATATGAAATCAATAACATGAGCAAATTCTATTGAGAGCTATTATCCTTCTTTATTTCGAACTTAAAATCGACAATATGAACGAGCTCGTACGATAATCAGTTTACTAGCAATAGCAATAGTATAATATTAAGTTCAAAATGTGAGTAAGCTCGTACGATAATCAATTTACTAGCAATAGTGTAATATTACAGTTCGATACATAAATTATCTTATGTTTGTATAAAAAGTCTGAATAGGATCAAAGCAAAGGGCAGAGGCCAATTCAAGGCACCATTATATTAACATAGGCGTTAGCAAAACTTTCAATGATGATTGAGGGATAATATTGTGTCTAATTGATTATAGTGATGTAAGCAATAAGCGAAAATACAAATATATAGGTAAAATATTTTGGGATCAATCTGGGGTCACAGACTCGCAGTTATGGTGCAACATAGATAACATACCTAGGAGTCGTTTGGTTTGAATTCAAGTTATGATGGGATAAGTTATACTAAGATTATTTTTTATTGAGTGTTTGGTTTGTTGTATTCAAAATAATAAATCTTAAGAACAATATATAAGTTTACTAAAATACCCTTCATAGATGTGAAAGTAATGTATAAAAAGTGTTTAAAGGGACATTTTTGTCATTTAGTCATTTTATCCCGGGATAACTTACTACACCATCCATGGGAAGAGATAACTTATCCCAGTACTAATTATTAATCCCAGGATAAGTTATCTCAAACTTCCCAACCAAAACACTAAATTAAGTGCCACAAAATAATTATCTCAAGACTATTTGTATCTATCCTTCACACTAAACGACCCTCTAATACAAATATTAGTTATTGATTTTACTCGAAATTGTGACATATATATCACACGAAAATAATTTTACCATTTGATCCAAGTTCACGTGAAAGAAACCATTTATACATTGAATAAGATAAAGTTGAAAGATTTGAGAGAATATTTTCTCCAATCACTTCCTAATTATCTGCAGAAATACTGCAGACAGTCTTGTCTTTATCATGATGGATTGATAGACTTCACACACAGGGTAAGAAAGATTCCTTTGTTTACTTGTCATTTGTTTGCACTTAACGAAAGTTTTAATCTTAATTAATCATATTTTGGTTATGAAAGTCTATTTATTCATTGAGATCGTTTGATAGCTGGTTAGAATCAAATAATAATTATGCAGATATTACTTGTTTCATCTTTTATCCGACCTAAGATATTCCCAATTTGCTTATAGCTTATACATATATTTAAGATGTGAATTTTTAAATTGCAAACCAAATGTCGTATTAATTTTGAACATAAATAACTTATTTCCTAACTAGCTACTAAATATTATAGAGCAACTTTCACACATAGCAAACACAAAATTCATATTTGTATGCTATAGCAAAGTTTGCATAATTGCGCTCCATAGCAAACATATATATGTATAATTCGCTATATATATACAAAAAAAACAGTTGTATAATCTGTTTTGGTATACATATACAAAAATATCAATTGTATAAAGTGAGAGAGGCGAGTGAGAGAGCGAGATCTGGGAGAGTGGCGAGCGAGATCTGGGAGAGTGGCGAGCGAGATCTGGGAGAGTGGCGAGCGAGATCTGGGAGAGTGGCGAGCGAGATCTGGGAGAGTGGCGAGCGAGATCTGGGAGAGTGGCGAGCGAGATCTGGGAGAGTGGCGAGCGAGATCTGGGAGAGTGGCGAGCGAGATCTGGGAGAGTGGCGAGCGAGATCTGGGAGAGTGGCGAGCGAGATCTGGGAGAGTGGCGAGCGAGATCTGGGAGAGTGGCGAGCGAGATCTGGGAGAGTGGCGAGCGAGATCTGGGAGAGTGGCGAGCGAGATCTGGGAGAGTGGCGAGCGAGATCTGGGAGAGTGGCGAGCGAGATCTGGGAGAGTGGCGAGCGAGATCTGGGAGAGTGGCGAGCGAGATCTGGGAGAGTGGCGAGCGAGATCTGGGAGAGTGGCGAGCGAGATCTGGGAGAGTGGCGAGCGAGATCTGGGAGAGTGGCGAGCGAGATCTGGGAGAGTGGCGAGCGAGATCTGGGAGAGTGGCGAGCGAGATCTGGGAGAGTGGCGAGCGAGATCTGGGAGAGTGGCGAGCGAGATCTGGGAGAGTGGCGAGCGAGATCTGGGAGACGAGAGAGCGAGATCTGGGAGAGGGAAGAGAGGGGAACAAAAATATATGTATATATACAATTTTCTCTCGCTTTATACAAACACAAACACACTTTATACACTTGCGTTTGTATAAAAACGAGAGTGGCGAGCGGGATTCACCAGGAGAGAGGTAAAAATAGCAACAGTTTGCTATGAGGTACAATTAAATCAAATTATATTTATAGCATTTAATTTGAATTAATAGTTTGCTATTATATACAATTTTTTCAATATTATATAACTTGTACAAATATTAATATATGAATAAATTACTTCTCTACTAAATACAAGTGTATTTGGTTTTTATATATTTTACGACCATATAATAAAATCTAGGCATCATTAACATGTCTATTTAGAAATTTCCACAAAGATTATATGTGATTTATCACTACGCCATTCATTTTCACTACTAATTCCACCATTATCAACTACCACCAGGCACCGCCACCATCATCAGCCGCGGCCCTGATGTGGGATTGAACCGAACAATATATGTTTACACATACTATTTTTCAAAAATAGGAACAAAAAGTGATCAGTAGACGTTATTTCTACGATAGATAAAGATGGCTCAGAAGGAGAAGTTGTCACAGAGACAGAAATCTAACGGGGAATCTCAGTAGCTCAGTTGATTGGCTTGGCTACCTGAACTCTCATCTTGTTGGTTAGGGGATTCGACTCCCCACCTTGTAATCCCCTACCTGTTTCCCCCTCCCCCCTGCCTTAACAAAAAAAGTATTATAGGCAACACATAGCTCAGGCAATAAAAGGAAGATATCAACAGTGGAAGAAACAACAAAATATAGAAGAGAAGTGCAGTCTACTCTGCAATGACAAAAGTATGTAACAATTTCTGTATGTAACAATTCTAATATGTATCTTATCATATTCAATCCAAATGCGAAATACTAAACCAAACGGCTTACATATGAGCATTTTAGGTAGGATATGCGACACTGGTTGTTGCAAGAAGGAAATGTAGACGCGGATGTACTTCTGTTTGGAGCTTTTTAGAGATATTGTCTAATTCCAGCCATCTTCTCAATGTGTTGGACGCTGCACATCAGAATGCTAACTTCATCCATTCTCACACATACCCCAGAGCCGCTCTGTCATCTGTTGCAGGAGAAGAGTTTCATAGATTATCAGTTGAACACGAGGATTAATAATAAGAAATGGATGTGGTAAAGCCTGAAATGATAACTGATGAGTATGTTGTTTTACGCTTAAAAGTAGCACAAGGCACTGAGGTGAATGATACTAAATTTAAGATTCTGATCCGACAATTACTCAAGGTTCTATGCTGAGAGATACAGTATTAAGAATCTGGATCTAGGATCACAACACCTTGAGATCCACTTATTCCAGTAATCAGCAATCAGAAGAAGGACGAGGCATTTTAAAAAGGTGGAGGATGGTACTTGCATCTCCAACAATAAGATCCTACGGTTTGAGTTATTACAAAAAGTTCTTTTTCATATAATTTGAAGCCCTATAGCACAAAACATAATATAACATAATAACATGAAAATACTTGGCTGCCAAGACAAGTGCACTTGTTTTTTAAAATTAAGTAATGAAATTTCATCCAAAAGCGTCCAGATGATGCAGAGCAGAAAAGACAAGTGCACTTGTGTTAGTATGACCATCGCAAAACTCTGGTTCCAGCTTTCAACTATCCAGGACCAGCCCACTACCAAAATTACAGATATTTAATGCACAAAAATAACCTAACAGAAACTGATATACGAAGCTCGTTCATCATGTTTCCTTACTGATCTCTAACA